GCGCGAGGCGAGAAGGTCGCCCGTCCGCGCCCCACTTGGAACTTCACCGGTGCCAGGCTTTGCCATTGCCAGTTCGTGGGAGTGACCGGCTTCTGGGAGACGGGGGAGGGCTCAGGTCGCCAAGGCTTCGCCGCAGTCAGGGGTTACTGGGACTAGAGGGTCCTCATGGCTAAGGTTAACGTTTAATCTTGGTCTGGAAATCTTGTCTTTGATTATGGACCATTGGTCCCTAGGACTCAACGACTGGGTCTTCAACTCCGTACGTGCAGCGCATGTGCACGTCCTTGGCACCCGAGGCTCGATTCATCAATACTGGGTGCCGACCGTGTGCCAGGCTCTGTTAAAAATAAAATGGTGACCTTCGGTTAGGTTTCCTGTCCCAGGGGTCTGACAGCCGCCCATATGACCCTACATGACAACAGCCTCGTTGTGGTTCAGTTTCTGGAAGACATTTCTCTCGTCATCTCCTTCACGCTTCTCACCGCCCCCTCTCCCATAAAAGACATAACAGGTATGAGCCCAGAGGTGCTAAAACCCAAAAAGACTCATTTAAAGTATTGTTTAAATTCAGGCTTGGAAGCAATCTGAGTTGAGTCTCTTATCCATAGGATTGTGAAGAACCTTTATGATTAAATACAAAAAATTTCTTTGTAATATATATTCTCACTTACAATTTACTTTGAGATTGTGTTTTATTCTGATATTAAGATAAATTGTCATTCGCTCTACACATCCCTTAGGGGTGACTGGGAATTGGAGAGGAGTCCCTTAAGTGGCAGGGATGAAAGTCAGCCTTAGTTAAAAATCATGCAAAAATGCTCATGTTCATTGGCACAATTCAAAGTACATTCCAGTCTGCGCTATTTCCAGAAGCTCTGCATATCTAACTACCTACCATATGACAAAAGAAGTCATTGTCATTGATCCATCAAATAAAACAAAGACATAAAAATGTTAAGGGCCACCTCTCACCCAGTCAGGCTGGCAGTAAAAAGTGTCCGATTCAAAATGAGATTTGTGTTGGACACTTGTGAAGAGTAGATGTAAGACGTTCCCTGCCTTCCAAATGCGTCTTTATAAAACGTGCCAAATTTATTAACGTCTGTAATGCTAAGCCTCTCTGTAAGCCAAAGGAAAAGAAACACTTTGATTTCCAACTGTTGAGGTCATTATTTTCCATGGAAAGATCAGAGGAAATAAATATTGACCTCTGAATGAAATAGCAAGTTATATAAGCCTTAAAAAAAAATGTTACCTAGGTTGATACCAAATCCTGAACCACAGAGGTTTCAATCATACGAAATCTGCTATAACCTCGCTGACAAGTATGACTTAACCAAGCTCACCCTCATAGCCAGTGTAAAAGGCTTATGTGTCCCTTCCTCTTTCTTGCCCTTGCTTGTTTTGCAAAATTCATTTTTCCTTCAGGACAGTAAAAAATCATTATTTAAATTAGGAGTCATTGCAGTGTCCAAACGCAGTCTGCAATTCTAAGGCCCTTGACGATGCTATCAGTTATTTTAATTCTACACCAGCTTCAAAAAGTACTTTGTGTGTGTATGTGTGTATGTGTGTTTGTATTCTCTTCTAGAGAGTAGATCCCTCTTAAATGTTTTAAAAGAATCAATATTGTTTTGCTGATTTTCTAAAGCAAGTCTCAAATGTATTCATAAATTATGATTACAAGTATATAAAAAATATGCATATAAAAAGATTAAAAGGGAATATTTGAAAAAGATTATAGCTGTTCTATTAAGATGTTAGTATTATATATGATTTTCCTTCATGTGTTCTGTTTGTGTTACTTTTATACTAAATAAAAATTTTTAAACTGGTACTTGAGAAAGTTAAGGTCAGATTTCAAACAAGTAGACTCAGTTCTATCAAGGTGAATACACATCCAAGGGCAATCAAGAAAAAGC